ATTAAAAACTAAATAAAATAGCTTTACCAATTTTATGTAATACCCTAACACTGGCAAAAGGGTTCCTCCGGTTGGTGTTTTGCAGCCACCTCCCCTTTGAGCAGGGCCTGGTGCATGAAAACTAGCAGTGTAATTAAAGCATCACTTGTTACGATTCTATTTGTATTGTCAACAGTGGGTTACAAGAGAGCACTGAACCACTGGGAACTGCAACGTCCCGGTGACCGGCACAAACTTAAGCGTCACAGCAATAGGGAAGAGGCTTAGTTAAAATCTAGAAAATTAAACGACAAGAGGAAGGAACGGGAGCGAAAGAGAAGAACAGTAACCGATATAAACAGGAGTAGCGTCGATTCACTATTTAATGAAATTTATTCATCCCTGCGCTCCCGGTACCCGTATCGACTCGTGCGTGCAAGAACAGATTTTCTTTTACTCGCGTATATCTTGTGCATCATCGGCATGCATGAACCCTGCAGCCACTAGAGGCGCACATTCACCCACTGCTAGCAAAAGAACCGATTCCTCTACAGTAACAATTCGTCGCTTCCATCGCGAGGGCTAAAATCTAAATTCCTCTGATATCAACTTTGCCCCATGAAGTCTGCCGCAGCTGTCAAAACAATCGTGCAACTCTTTGCTGGTGTCTCCTTCAGCGTTTGCTCCCCCCCCCCTGCTCGCTTGTTGCAGGATCTCTGTGCTTGCAGTCTGTGCTCGCTGCTCCCCTGGCTTGCGGAGCTGTTGGTGGCGGAACGGAAGAGGTGTCGCCACCTCGTTGCCACGGAGACGTCGTGACGATGATGGGCACGCCGACCATCGTGGTCCACTCGGACAGTGATGACGAGGAGGAGCCTTCGCGACCGTAAATAATAACTTAAAAAACAAAAATGGTTTTGTTTCTGGGACACCCAACGCACAACAGTGCGTAGATACTCAATCTCCCTGGTGAATCTTCAAACATTTTGGTAAACCAACAAGACACAGCCAGTCGTCTGGAATGTGGTCGAGGCGTGGTGTGGCCAGGATCGGGGTTGGTGATGAGGGTCTCATAGGGCACGTTGCCTAAATGGCTACTTAGCGCACTAAGGGACACGCAGTGGTGCACATGGGGATGGCGCCATTGAGCAGGGTGTGTGTTTGTGGTGGTCCGTCTGCACAGACCCAACCGCCCGCGACTCACCTACCTGTGAGCGTCCAGCAAATGCCTGGACACTTCAGCACCGAGCCAATGGAAGGTTTTTTGTGTTTCTTGAAAGCGGCAGAATACTGGCCAAGAGAGGATGCTTCATCGTAGCCCATGGCCCCGCGCGTTTCCCCGCTCGCTCATCTCTCGCGATCCTGTGTAGTGGCCACTTGGCTGACCTGTCCTCATGATGCCCTCGTCACCAACCCTGCGCCGCTAACGCTGGTGATCCCAGCCGCACCACTCTTCACCTAGCCCCCACAGGCCAGAGCACTTGTCTTGTGGTCATCATCGGTAGTGGTCACTATTGCCGGATGAAGGCCTCCCTGAACTGCCACCACCGCCTCTCATCCCGCAATGTGACAATTGCCTGGGCGACTGCACATTAAATTATTTTATCACTCCATCTCTCAAGCGGGATGTCCTTATGGATGCTTTCCTTTCTTGGGATGCTACTCCATTATTATTCTCGACCACTGTGCTTAAGGTGGCGCTTCCTATCCAGGCCCACATTACTTAACAAGCCCACTTCTCCTTTCGAGCTTAGATGATGTTGTTAACCTGCATAATATTCTTTAGCCCACACGTTCCTCTTCTCCCGCCTCTCAAATCGATTCAAAATAATGTCCTACTGTAGGTTTCCAAAATGTTTGAAAAATAATGGAACGGTATGCCCCTTGTCATGGTTGGGTTGCCTTTAGCAAGGTCGGACACCGCAGAGGGATGCTTGATGACCAACGATAGTTGCCCTTTTGCGACTGCGAGGATGAGATCGTGACCCCCGTTGCACCCAGAACAACGATCTGTGGGGCGGGCACAGACGAGCCGAGACTCGGCTCGGGGTGTGCGTTTGGATTTTTGTGTTTCTTGGGGGGGAGGTTTGTTCTGCCCCTTTTGTTTATAATTTTTCCACTTGGCGGTTGGCAATTTGCCCCAAACGTTTGTTTGTTGTTACCTTAATGCGTTTCTTTGTTGTTTAACTTTTTCTGGTTAAGGGAACACAAAATAAAGTTTTCATCACTGAGGTTGTGTCCCCCTGTCCCTTGTGCACTACCTGGAATGGGAGAGGCATCTGAAATTTCAGGGATGTCGGTCATGAAGCATCTTCAAATCCGTCTAGCCTGGTGCTCGTGAAAGAGTTTCAAGTCTCGCACGACTGGAGGGCGACACCCCGTGCCATTGGTGGGTTTCGTAGAGTTTAGTGGAGACCGGTTTGGTCGTGATGGTGATGAAGCAAGCACGGAGGGGTGATGCCCCCCCACCCCCCGATCTGCTTTTACCGGCTTAGGGACAAAGGAGTGCGACGAGCACGAGCCCAATGGCTGAGACACGGGGACTCGTAAAGAGACACAGGGACTCGTGGAGACACGGGGACTCGTGAAGAGACACGGGGACTTGGGAGAGACACGGGGGTGGAGACACGGGGACTTGGGAGAGACACGGGGGTGGAGACACGGGGACTCGTGGGGAGACACGGGGACAGCTTTGGCCGATTTAGAGTATTTAGTAATTATTGAACTGTGGTTTTCGAGGTGGGTGGTGACTCCGCGCCCATCGCCTGCAGCCTACTAATAGTTGCAGCATGACGCGGCAGGAGCTCGCGACCCGTCCGACGTTTATCGACGGAAATTGTTTTCACTGTTTTTAATTTCCATAATGTCGGTTCATTTAAGGTGCCGCCATTAATCGTAATACATCAACTGACACATTTCGTCAATGACACCCTCTTAAAAGGCGGAAATGGCCCGTTTACCATGAAACTCAACGTCGCCTGACATGTTTCGTGTTATTTGCGCCTACGCTACCAATGCAGCAGCAGCATCGGCACCAATGGAAGTGTAACAGCTGCATCCGAAAGATTTGTAGAAAGGCTAGAAGGGGATAGAAGAAGACATCGAATCGCTTGTTCGGGGCGTACCTTGACTAAAGAGGACAGAGGGAGGGGGGCAAGGTCCTCCAGTCTGTCAATCGGTGACGCTGGATGTGGAGCCTCCCAGCCAGTGCGCGTCCGTGATGGCAGCCCGGCACGGACGTGGGAGCGTGGAAGTACGGCGCACATTGATTTCGCCGCAACCGCCATATTGCTGCCCCCCCCCCACACACAACGTCGCGCCTCTACAGCCTCCAACGCACGTGGTCGTGCGTGGTGCTCGCCCATCGGAGCAATTATCCAGGCTCGAAGCCTGCTTTAGCTTCCGGAGATGCCGATTGAGATGGGGTGCATTTCGGGCCATATTTCATATTTATAGGCTGTAAAGATGCAATTAATTACTCTCGCAGTGTTTTGGCAAAGGTTGATCTGAAGATGAAAACGGTCTTGAGCTTCATCCTAAAGAGGGGGGGGGGGGGGGGGGAGTGAAAGTCTACAGCGCATGTGTAAGGCAAGGGAGTTCGAGACCTTGGGTGCAGCAGTCGGATAAGTGACGGCCACGAGCAAAGATTGCTAGGGGTTTTCGAAGTTTCGTGGCCGTGAGTAATTCGTAGGATTGTGCCGGATTTAATTTCGAAACGAGAATTCGCCGATTTACGTCGCAATGAAATGTGGAAACTATCCTAATACGTTTAGGCGACGAGCCAATGCAATTGTGTGGGGGATTGACGCGTCGTGATAAGTGGAGTGAGTAACACGTTAATTATAATATGAAAGTATGGGGTCTCTCCTGGCCACACCAATACCATTAACACCACCTCTCAACCACTTCACCACTCACACCACATCTCACCACATCTCACCAAACCCAACCGCACCATTTCTCTCAGGCACATCCATCCTAGTCGCACCATTTATTTCGGCCACCCCTCTCCAGGCAACACCAATACCACTCAAACCATCTCTCCACCACACCAATACTACTTTACACCATGTCTCAACCACCCCGATGCCAACCACACCATCTCCGACAGCCTCGCCAATTCCAGCCGCCACCCACATCTTCCAGCCAGACCTCACAATACCTTCCACACCATCACGTTCCACCCACACATTTTATTCACCAGCCATAATATTGATGTCAGCACTTGCAGCCATAGAAATACCATTCATACCATCTCCATCATTCACGCCATCTCTCTCAGCAGCACCCATTGCACCTCCCACCACCACCACACTCTCCTCGCCTCCTTATCGTCTACCCCCACTCCTCACACCCTCCCCTCGCCGCCCGCAACATTCCCTACCCGCCTCGTCTCAACCCCCGTCACTCTCCCTTCACCCTCTCCACCTGCCAGCGGTGACACCCACTCCGTCCATCGCCACCAGCCCGCCCAGTCACGTCACTCGCGCGCCATCTCTTCCAACCACCACCAAATCGTCCAACCGCTTAACCTCACGCCCTCCCCTTCTGCGCCACAACGCTCAGCCACACATCACTCCCCTCGCTCCTCCTTTCACGTCTTCCTTCCATCTTCGCCACCCCACGACCCCAGCTCTCCCACTCGGTGGAGACCCAGCGGTCAGGAGTGGAAGTGCGCGCGCCTCTCAGCGGCTCTCTGGACGTTAAACAAACACTGCCACTGTCACCCGTGCAGTGATTGTAGTTTTATGGACCCAGGTTCCATGAACTACGCCCCTCAACCCCTTCCAAACTGAGGCTCCTTCTATGACCACACCGCGCCCCTTCCGTGATAGTGTCCCCCTGAAGTGGGGGGGGGGGAGTCATAGAAAGTTGGGGGCGGTGGGGGCTGGTCTACTAATCCGGGCGTCTCCTCCCAGCACTGCCCGCACCCACACCCCGCATCACCTCCGCGCCCCGCGCATAGTTTGGCTCTGACGCTGAGGTCGGTTTGCTCCCCCCCCCCCCCCCCCCCGGTCTACTCTCGCTCCCTCTCTCACCCACCACTCGCCACCCTCCCTCGCTCGTATAAAGGGCGCACACGGGAGCACAGTCGAACGCACACAAACACGCGTGTTCAGCGTGCGTGCGTGCGGGATCACCGCTCCTTACTCCCGGCGTCATGAGCGCCGTGCCCGAGGCCCAGGCTGAGGAGGCGAAGCCCAGCATCATAGACGGGAAGATCCTCTCCAAGCAAGGTACGGCCGCCCCGGCACACCTGGGGTCACACCTGTCTAGTTGCTACCCCTGGCTGGGTGTGCATGCGTGTGCCTGCACACCTGGCTGATCACCTGTCTGTGATTACGCAGTGTGTCTGCACCCCTCTCTACACATCACAAGACTTTAACAGACTTTTGTGGCAAGTGCTGTTAGAGAGCACCGACACAAGGAACACACCTGTCTGGCTCTACACCTGTATGGCTATACACCTGGCTTAGCAACGATCTGCCCGCTCTCACCTGTCCACCACACACACACACCTGCAAGTGCGCACACCTGGCTGCCCGTACACCTGTAACCCGAACTCTGTCGCAACTCAAAGCAAGGCTCTCTCGGTTCTCACCTGGCGGCCATTCACCTGCAGGAACCCACACCTGACACCTGACACCGAGCTAGCGCCCACATCTACCGTTGCTGTTGGCCAGGTGGTGGTGTGAGTGTGGTGGTGGTGGTGTGAGTGTTGTGGTGTTGTGAGTGTTGTGGTCTGAGTGTGGTGGTGGTGGTGTGAGTGTTGTGGTCTGAGTGTAGTGGTGGTGTGAGTGTGGTGGTGTAATGGGACATCTTCGCCGGTTAGAAACATTTAGGCTGGCCTGCCTACGATCAATCCTGGGTTTAACCAGGCTGGATTGTGTGAGGAGCTCACATCCTGGAAAGATCTGGACAAAGTCCCATCGGTGAGCACCTCCGGCAGGCAAGGCTGCGTTGGCTGGGCCATGTAGCCCGCATGTCCAGCCACCGCATGCCTAAACAGCTTTTGTTCCGCCGGATCGAGGGGGCTAGACGGGCGCGGCACGAGCTAGTGAAGAGATGGAGTGACGTAGTACAGGAGGATGTGGAGCTGAGTGAACTCGCCGATGACTGGTACCAGCGGCGTCAAGATCGGCCTCTGTGGAGGAAGCTCGTGAAGGACGCTACTGGGCAGTTGGATGCAGTCGCCCTCCAACAACAACGGAGGGCGGAGGAGCGACACTCACAACAACGAGCGAAACGCCGGGTGGCTAAAGCACAACAAGTTGTCACAGTAGGGGGCACAGGTGGTTCATCAGCCAGTCATCTCGGTCATCTCAGTCAGTCGACCCGTGGCACGTGGGGCTGCCCCGTGACCTCCTGTCAGCGGGCGTTCGACACTTCCCGTGGCCTCAAGGTGCACATGGCCTGGCACAAGCGTCGTGGTGACGTCACCGCCACTTAGTGACGAATGGCGGTTGTTGTTGTGGTGGTGTGAGTGGTAGTGTGAGTGTGGTGGTGCGTGCGTGGGGCAGTTGTAGTGGCCAGCGCACTGCCCTACGAACCAGCCGATCCGAGTTCGATTCCCGTTCACGATCATTAAAACAATGTGGAATTTTGAACCGGTCCTGGGAATCCCGTAGGTTGACTCGTGTGGTGTGTAATTATCGGCACTGGGGAGGCCGGGCGTGGTGTTCACCACACCACCACCTCGTGTCCCGTGACGGCTTTCGAAAGCTGCTCGCTCACAACACTTGCTCCGACAGTCTGCCAAGACTACGCGGGACACCTTTGTGTGTCTGTGCGGTGTTCGTGACCAGTTAAACCAACCGCCGAGAAGACGTGGACACACCTACGGCCACCTGCCATCTGTTATCGCATGCTCCACGTGACATGCCTAGGATATCTCCATGCCTCTTGTTACTACCGCTGTGACATCTCCGTCTGTCACCAACACATCAATGCACTGCCCTGGGGCGAGGTCGAGAGGTCGCGGCTCGTACGGGGGGGGTGGGGTGTAGGGTAGAATGAGGTCAGCACAGGATAGGAACGTGAAGAATGACAAATTCATACCGCCACTGCTTGCAGCCTAGACTCGCCTGCAGCTCTCTCGCCTACACCGACTGTGCTGGGGAAGGGATGTGAGGTGTAGGTGAGGGATGTGAGGTGTGATTGACTATTCTCACTACTTGACTATTCTCACTGCTTGACTCTTCTCACTAATTGACTCTTCTCACTACTTGACTCTTCTCACTACTTGACTCTTCTCACTACTTGACTCTTCTCACTACTTGACTATTCTCACTGATTCTAGATTTGAAGCTTTCGTGACTGCAAGGATTCATATTCTTAGGTTGTTTCGGTACCTACGTGACTTTACCGAAAAAACCTAAGAATATTCTCACTGCTTGACTATTCTCACTACTTACTCTTTGGGTTTTTCGGTAAAGTCATGTAGGTAAAAAATAAATCAAATAAATGAAAACTAAATTAAATCACGACGTTTCGGGCGCAACACAAGCGTCCTTCTTCAGGTGGAGACAACGTAGCGAAAGCACAAACGCTTAAATGAGTCTCGGAGATGGCTGTGACACACTTAAGCGTTTGTGCTTTCGCTACGTTGTCCCCACCTGAAGAAGGACGCTTGTGTTGCGCCCGAAACGTCGTGATTTAATTTAGTTTTCATTTATTTATTTTTTACCTACGTGACTTTACCGAAAAAACCAAAGGGTATTAATCCTTGCAGTCACGAAAGCTTCAATCTAGAATTCTCACTACTTGACTATTCCCACTGCTCACAGAGAACAGGGAGTGGGGGGGGCGTGTCACGTAAGTGATTTATTTAACGAGGGGAGGGTGATTTTTTCATTTATTGTCCCTCTCATTTACCAATGATGCGCTCACAACGTGCTGCATCTTCATCATCATTACAATTGACTTCGACAGGGGCATGCGTCATGCCCCCCCCCTTATGACAGCCCTCCACCGCTCCGCCCATAGCCTCTCCACTCGTTGTAGAGACCGCGTGAGAAGCTGGGATGCTGTACGGCCTCAATGGGGAGACGCCAGACGTGGCGGCCTGGGGTCGAACTTGGGGCTTTTGTGGTTGAGCGTTGAGGTCAGGGGCGAAGGGGTCAACTCTGGAGACCCGCTCTATCATCGCGGGCGAGGTTGTTCTGCGTTCGCGGTGAGCGAAAGGGACTTCACAGGCAGAGGCCGGACGAGCTATAGAGCTCTGCTGTGGAGCTGTATTGTGGAGCTCTGCTGTGGAGCTCTGCTGTGGAGCTCTGCTGTGGAGCTCTGCTGTGGAGCTCTGCTGTGGAGCTCCGCTATCGAGGCGTGCTGTGGAGCTCCACCGTGGAGCTCACCCGTGGGGCTGTGCTATCGAGTGGTACTGTGGAGCTCCACCGTGGGGTTCTGCTATCGAGTTGTACTGTGGAGCTCCAACGTTGAGCTCTGCTGTCGAGTCATACTGTGGAGCTCCACCTTAGAGCTCTGCTATCGAGTGGTACTGTGGAGCTCCACCGTGGAGCACTGCTATCGAGTCGTACTGTGGAGCTCCACCTTGGAGCTCTGCTATCGAGTCGTACTGTGGAGCTCCAACGTGGGGCTCTGCTATCGAGTCGTACTGTGGAGCTCCACCGTGGAGCTCTGCTATCGAGTCGTACTGTGGAGCTCCACCGTGGGGCTCTGCTATCGAGTCGTACTGTGGAGCCCCACCGTGGGGCTCTGCTATCGAGCCCCACCGTGGAGCTCTGCTGCCGAGGCGGAGTTGGTCATAGTCCGGTTCGTCCGCATTTCAGAAACTCCCACCCCCTTTCAGCGCGTTGTGTCTGAGCTCTGTTGCTCACGTCTGTAGCATCCATTGTACCAGGCAGACTTTGCAGCAGTGAGCAGTCAACTAACCCGGACTGATACGCCCCAATCAAGGCGAGACAGATCTGCAGTTGCCTGTCGAACTGCTGCTACTGGCCTTTTGTGCCAGTGTCTGTGTTGCGATCTGCAGCCCCCCCCCCAACCTCTCAGTGCCCCCCACCAACTCCCAGTGCCCCCCACCAACTCCCAGTGCCCCCCCACCACCTCCCAGTGCCCCCCACCAACTCCCAGTGCCCCCTCACTACCACAGCGCCTTATTAGGAACCCCAGGCAGCAGCCTCGTGCCAGTCTGATATCATTGTCATCACCATCAGTACATTCTTGACGGGAAGGTTACGTGATGACATATTTCAGATATGAAGATGATGATGACAGCACTGTCACCCCCCCCGCCTTCGCTCCCCCTCACCCTCGCCTCCTAAAACCCTCCTCACCACCCTCTTTACCCCCCCTCCCCTCCTGCTCCTCCCACCGGGGCCGGTGACATAAATGTGTGTAATGACATTCAAGTCACGGAACGACTGGAGTAATGTTTTTCAGGTACAAGTGATGCGTTGCTTTGATGTGGGCTGTTTGTATACCGGTTACAAGTTGACAGCAGTAACGCTATCACATATTTAAATTATATGGAAATTCGACTACGGTACTGGGCGTATGCGAAACATAGCTCAATAGCACATCGGATTCCTCCAGTGTAAATAAAGGTTCTGATTCTGAGAAAGTTCACGTCTCTGCCACTGTCCCCATTCTCGACCTCCCATTAACTTTGCACAGACTAACCACTAACGTCGTTGTCGAGACGATAAATAACGAAATACAAAAGTAGACAATAATTCACCTCTTTCCCGTATCTGTCCCTCCAAGTAAAAGTATTTTGCACGTATTCCATTAGCCACGTGTCAGTGATTTCACAAGCAACGTCGCCTATAATGTACACTCCCAGAGTAAACTAATAAAACACGAAACTAGTTTTATTTATCTATTTTACCAGGTAAGGCCCACTGAGCTACGCAACTCGTTTGAGAAGCGACCTGGTCACACATGATAGCTCGACGGAGTGGCTTATCACGTGGACATTTATAGCAGCCAAATATTCGACACGCACATTGATTTTAAATCAGAGGACCTGGAGAAAAAGATTCCACGCGAGCACGGGCAAGAACATGCAAACTCCAACTATACAGACGTCGTCAGGTTGGGGTCGAACCCACGAATCACCTCTGTACCAGGCGAAGCGGAATTGCATATCGCCACCGCGATGCCCCAGACAGCCGTGTGGCCTCCAGGATCTGTAGAAAATAATTTGTTTTACTCTTTAATTGAAGGGACACCTACGGGAAGGAGGCACGCATAAGTATTGCCTGCTTGATTTGTT